CAGAAACTGGTGCACTGGTAGAGATATTATACGCACTCAAGAGTTTTTCCATACAGACAGCAAAAGTTGATTGTTTGTAAGAATGTCCGCCGACCCAGCTAGTTCTGATCTCTTTTTTTGTTTCTAGATGTATTGGTTGTTGTATGACCTAAATGGCCAATTTGAGCTTCTAATCGCTGTGCTGCTTAGCTTGTAATCGAACAGATCAACTGCTAATTATGAGATTGAAGCAGCCAACGTTATCAGCTAATAAATTTCGAGCTTCGGTCTGAAAACGATAATGAAAGAAAACAACTTTTGTAAGAAGTCAATGTCTGCCTATATACTGGCCAAACTATCATCATCAATTTACCTCAAATTTGATTCAAATAGTGATTTCTTGCGTTAAATGGAACAACAGCTGTTTATGAATAGCGTGTTATGGTTTTGTGTCTGCAGCCAGGCGTGGTTTCCAAATTGGCGGCGAATACTTGCCAACATTTGAAGATTATTTTCGACCGAGTAAGTAAAGTGTTTTTTTCATTAGCTCTTCCATGACGGAGACTATAATAGTAGTATAATTAGTAGTATGATCAGAAAAAGATTGGTTCCTGGAGGATACCTTTTCGTTAATGCAGCACTGATAAGAGCTTTAAAGAGATGATGCAATAATTTTGTTTTTTCTCTCTTTTCAAAAATTTACATAGCGTGTTCCTTGTACTTTTCATTGACACAATTAATTAGTAGTAGGAGTTTGTTAAGTACAACTCTAGGATAATTCTAACAGTAATTTTTGCTCCCGAGCCTCGCTCTACGCGTTTGGCCAATTTAGAGTTAATCGCTCTATCACTCGTAGGATTGCACTCCTTTTAGTCCAGTTACCACAACCGGCATCTTGAGAAGATGGTTAACTTGAATAACATGACTCCTTTTATTTAGGCCTTTAAATGTCCAAATATTTTTCAACAAAATGCACGCAGCGACGACCTTGTTGAAAATGGGCTGTGGTGCGCACTATACACGAAGGGTAGAAAAAAGTCTTCAACCAGTTTAAATAATAAGCTTGTTGAAAACGATGGTTTACGTAACCAAAACGACCTTTGCGCCCTTAATCTGGGGATTTTTGTAAAGAAAAGGGAGGATAGTACAGTCGCGAGGAAAACATCCACTGCAATTAAACTTACAATTATGACGACAAAGAATTCGAATCGCCCCCGACAACCCTGTGCATCATAACGTCTGGCAAGAAAGGGCAGTAAACCTGTAAGAGCTCCAAAAACAGACCTTGATAAGAATGGTGATAATAGTGATGACATATCATCATACATGGTGATATGCCAATTGTTGGGATCGATTCAGATAAATGAATTTGTATCGCTCTAATTTTGTTGTTTTGCAGAGAACAGCCAGGAAATTTGTCATCTTGTTGCCTTTCGTTCCCAATAGGATCGCGTGTGAATGGCAATTGCTGTATTACAGGCAGTACACGTTATCTTTAAGGCGTTCATACTTTTTCTTTCGACAGATGTCCTTGCTGTTTTACGTCCTGTCGCGAGGCTTCTTAGAAGGATTGCTAAGTATTTTTAGATTTAATGGCGACATATATATTATCTTTAGGTGGGAGGAGACCAAATAGCGATGGAAGATTTCAGTGACAAGATCAGCATTGAGCAGATTAAGATTCACAAAAGGCGAACCAGCTTCCTCCATCGCAATGAAATGACCAGTTACTCGTTCGAACGATTTTGTAGAGCAGGGCTCTCGGGGCCGGTATCGTGTTGTTCGTTTTTTACAACAAATTAATGATGACGCGTGAATCGATCCTACATTTACCGTTCTACCATCTGATCCTCTGTAAAATTATTTAAGTTTAGTTCGGCTCTTGCCTTTATATTGAAAAGAGATAAGGTTGCCAACGAACAACCCGGTCAAACAAAGGTAGGAAAGCTTCAGATTGAGCTATCTGAAGACCAAAAATCTTCATCACTGACACCGTTACACATTAGTGCTGGGCTTGGCGTGTAAAATGTGTAAGGAAAAATGAAAAAGAGCGTTATTCTTGAAAAAATGATTAAAAATTATCCAGTAAACTGAGTATTTAAGGAGGCTGGGAAGAAGTTTTTCTTCTTCCTTGAATGCAGAACTCATCAAATTATTGCGAGCATGTTGCATTTGTCAATATTGTTCGGCTTCCACGTAAAATGTTGTCTGATGCCGCCCTTGTATTTCATCTAATAACCCGTACTTTAGTGCTGAAAGGTTTATCTTTTGGTCTTATTTCAGGTAAAATATTCTTAGTAGCCTTCAATAACGGAGCAGGTCACCCATCGGCAATATATTCTGCCGGTGACCTTGTCCCCAATTGATATTGAAAAGGTTTTTTTCAATCAGCGATGGACGTATGTGAGTCTTAGCTTTGTAAGAGTCTTGTAAGAATTACGTGACTGTAACGAGATAGGTATCGTCGTGAAACCCTACAGTACGTGTTTGGAGCAGTCATCTTATGACCTTGATCGTGCTACTCAACACTTTGAGTCGTGCTTGACCAAACTTACTCTTTGAACGCGGAACACGTGTTCATGTAGTGTACGCCAAGAGAGAAGTAAATCTAAATAGCACGCCAACCACGCCATGCGTCCGTATGGCGTTTTCCTAAATGGAATACGGAGGAAGGAAGAAATATCGCCTTTTGGGCGTCTCAGAGTTGACACCTGCTGCGAAGAGGGTGGAAATCGGGACTAATCGGGCAGCGAGATAAGGACTGAGAAAGCCTGGGCTAAGAGGATTGGATTTAGTTGTCTAGCTGTTCCTTGGATGCTAATAATCTTTTTTTTTCACGTTGGATTTGGAGTAAATGGTCACACGGCTAACTTAAGAACATTTCGGGTAAAACATGCTCCTGTCTCGCACAGGCATCCAGGGCCACGAAAGAGAAGGAAGATCCATGGTCAATTCCCTGCATGCAACAAGTAGCATAAAAATGTTTCAAACTGTACGTGAGTACTCCTATAAATTAAAAGTTTTAACTCTCCGTGTTTCTTCTCCGATGTGATTTACTGTACAAAAACGCACTTTCAGTTAGCACAGACTCCTTTGCAAACAGAGGACTCGCATGATCCTAAGGGTACAACAGCTCTCTGATAGCCGCAAAACAGAACATTGCACAATCCTGTGGGGTGCAACAGCTCCCAGGTAATTGTGAAACAGAATATTGCTCCATTCTCCATCTCTGAAACTAATTGGAAAGTGCTAGAGAGTGAGCTCGATAATTAGTATGTTTCACGTGGACTGAAATTGACAAGTTGGTCAATTTGAATCCCAGAGGCAAAAAAATTTAAGCACAGGTAATAGCGTGCCGTAAGCCGTTCGTCAATAGCCAGGCAGAGAAACGATCTTACAAATATGAAGAACAGTCAATTTTACAAATTGATATTCGACGTCTTTCATAAACAGGCTCGTGACGTAAAGGCTGACTTCAGACTTCATCTTTGTATTATTATAGTGACCACAATCTCCCTCGTTAGCGACAGAAGGAAATTGCGAGTCAGTAATCCGTTAGAGTTATTTTCTTAATTGTTTTTGTCGGCTTCTTTTACTACCTTGAATCACGCAGAGCTGTTTAGCTCAGTTGGGAAACAGATTTCCGCCCACTCTTAAATTTTCGCCCCCCAAAACACTGCAAACCTGCTCTAAAAAATGTTTAGAAACTGATTAAGAGACATCATCATCATCATAATGTTTACATAGCACTGATCAATCACGCCATGTACAGGGTCTGTCAAGATAGCTAAATTTGATACATTTGAATATTCGACGCCTGGAGAGGGTTGACAGTTGATCACTCTAACATCTAAGGATTTTTTCAGATTTTGAGAACATAGGCTGGGCGATTAATCAGGTCAAATAGGATTTTTGCGCTGAGGCAGTATGTCACTGTTGTCACAGTTGTTGTAGTAATTGTTGTCGCCGTTGCTGTTGTTGTTGTAATTGTTGTCGCCGTTGCAGTTTCTTTTGCTTTAGTTAATTTCATCGGATGAACTTTCACAAAAAGCGCAAATTGAAAGAAAACGGCCGAATTTACCTCTGACTTCGCTCGCTCTCCAGTTCAATATTTCATGAACCTTAAACGGCGAAACGAAAACGGAAAAAAATTTTGTTTTGACAACAAACACAAATGTACCAAAGGTATTGCTCAAACAGATGAAAAACAGACAGCGAAAACTCCTGCAGTTTGCGCACAACAAACGTGCTCGTAAAATCTCTGTATATGATTTGTCACAAGTCTTCTGTTAGCGCCTTTTCTCTGACAGACGCCCTTTACCCTCTCCCCGGAAGGAAGCAATCTAACACCAAAGAATTTTTCAGCACGTGTCCTCAACACTATACTCAAGAAATATTTTTTTAAAAGAATTCGTGTCCAAGTAGCTGTCACATTAAAATTTTTCCTAAACTAACGAGTGTCGATAGCATTAAGTACAAAGTAATGTGAGGTCCAATGCTTGGTGAAATAAGAATCATTCATGGCATTTCCTGAAAATTTCTAACAAGTAAAAGTTTATATGTCTAATATCGCGTACTCGGGGAAGGCTTTCCAAAAAATACTTTAGGCTTTAAACACGTGTTGTCGTGAGTTCAGCGTTTATAGCTCGTTTGAAATGCATATTACCTATGACGTGTACAGGAGGCAGTCAGCAACCTCGTCATATCTAAGAAAGGCTTCTGTGAAATATTAAAATGATACATGTATATTATACACATAGGTATGGAACACAAAGTACAGGCAAGAGGCAGCCACATCTGACATGAACATCTCATTGCTACTCCTATAGTAACAGAAAGACTAAAGTTCCGGTACTCTAGAATTGCTGAATAAAACGTGAGTTCAAACTCCACCAGTGAGTCAGAATTCACAATGGCTTGGGAAAGAAAGTACTCAAGATTTGCGGAAATCATCCTCTGGGTACAAACATCCTGTAACGAGGGACTTAATACTGTGGTTCCGAGTTTCCCAGGTGAACTTCTAGAAGCTCTACTACTTCACTAATCTATTCCGTTAATTACGCTCCTTAGCTGTAATGCTATAACTCCACATGGGGTAAATCATACAGACAGCGGTTGTCACGATGGGCTGGGGCAATGTATATATAAAGGATTGTTCATAACACGACACTTTAGTTTGACCCTGCGTGCAAGCCTACAAACTGTTCATTGGAAGGCTCCCATCACATCGTAACCGTTGAAGGTAAAGTCCATTTTTTTTTTTTTGAATCGCTGGAAACTTGACGATATGGGCTTGACATTTTGATGTTGTGTTACAACGTAATACACTGCAATCTGGGCAGTGATAAAAATTTGTAGTGTGCGTGCCAAATAAAATTATGTTGCAGTGATCGATGGTTAGATCCACACGCTGTCAAAGTTTGTATTTCAACCAGGAAATCCAAAAACTTAATCCGTTCCACGAGGAATCGCTACAGTTTGCGTAAACGAACTTTCTCAAACCGGTTGCGAAAGCCGATAAGATGTTTTTCTACTTTTCCAAAAGGGCGGTATCTAGGAAAGTGTACCTTTGGCCAACACGCACATATCCTTTTTTGTTTACTTTGAAAGCGAAGGGCTACTCACCGGTGTGGTTGAGTGAGTTGCTGCTCTGCTTTCTTGAGGAGTTTCACGTCAAGCGCTAAGCGTCCCTTGTTGACTTTCAAAATATCACGAGGTCGACCATAGGGTTTTCTTTTCCCTTGCTTGAATGCTTGGAACTTGTTTGCGGGCCAACTATGGCTTAAGTCTTCTTTTTGAATCCCATTTCCAGGGATTTTCTGATCTTAAATAACTTTATGCGCATTTATAACACGATTAGAAAAAAAAATACCATCACGGAATTGTTAACATGTTGATATCTGGATTATGTAATGAATAACTATTCGCGATTATCATTATCGCGAGGAAATTGGAAGTTATCGTCAATAATTTGCAAGATCACAGGTATTTTTTATCAGTTTACAGCTTTTTCGTTCGGTAAACAGTCTGCGGATGAAACTTATTGACCTTGGTTGAGAGCCATGTATTGCGATGTTGATCAGAAAGATTGGAGAACAGGAACATTGAAAAGTCTGGTATACTTCCCTCATTAGGCTATATCTGCGTTATAAAAATCGTTTCTAAAGGTCAATGGCTCTTTCATGGTCTTAGGAAATGATCATGATCATGACGATCACTTTTTAACTTCCTTTCATCGATCGTTGTACTTTTCTCGGAATTTGGTGAACTGATTTAGGGGAAGATTCGCCTGTCTCGGTTTCAGCTACGAAGCATACATCTTAAATCCGGGATATAGCCGCTAACAGTCAAGATAATGTATTGTGTACATTAGGTGGTAACTTGTAACACCTATCTGGTAACTTGTAACTCAATCGTCAGCAGATTAGATAACATCTGGAGCACATTATCGATTATTTCTCGATTGCTAGTCCCATCAAAGACCATTAATTAAATGTATTTTATACTTTGCATTTCCTTTCATTGGAAGGTTCGCGAATATTTATGGTACTCGGAAAAATCATATTTACTTTGCAGAGTGCACACGCCCCCTGCTCCTGTCTCGTCAAGCCCCTCTTCGTCCTCTTCCCTTTCCCACTTTTTACGCCATTGTAGGTCCATGGCTATCTCTCGTTTTGCAAGGGAAGGGGAGGGGGGGAGGGTTCGGTTTGGAGGGGCAGAAAATATCATTTGATCAATTACAATATCCATTAAGAGATTAAAAAAAAAAAAACTCGTCTTCAACAAAATCTTGGCCGTCAGTAAGACTGCTTGAAAGCCTGAAATATTTAGCAGGACCCTTGCGTAGTGGCTTTAAAGCAGTTCATTTATGAAAAAAATCGAATTTTCTTTGTATCTTTGTACTATCTGGTTTTGATTTAATCTTGGTCTTTTAGTTACAAATAGCAACACCGTCCTTTACGTCAACCAAAAGGTAGTTATCTAGCCTGTTGAGTTGAATGTTGTATCATAAAAGCGCATTCTTACCGGCGGAAAGCAAATTTTAAGGAGAGCAGTGCACGATTCTGGCATGGTCAGTCCATATCCTTCCCTTTTATTGTATTTTAGGAGCGTTCAAAGAACTGTCCCTAACGTTGATATTTTTCGGAATTCCTCACCGATTCATGTTCTTAATTTGTAAGGCAGCTATTTCATAGAGCCACGCACTCATCACTCATACATTTTTGGCCTCAATCTCGTGCTCTTAGTAGTCACCTGATGTCGTCATGGTAATTAATCTCATTGACGACATCAGATGACTGCTTGGACGTGAGCGGTTGTTCATTACATTTCACACTTGCAGTTCTACCTACTTAGCTGCCTTACGCATACAATTGAACCGTTTCGATAAATCTTCAAGCAACTCATCATTCACGAATACATTTCCCTGAGGTAAAATTAGATTTGCAAAATCACTCAACTTGTTAGTTGAAAGGCATAAATGATGCTGTTTGCAAGTTAGATTGGGAAAGTTGAAACTTACTCAGATGCAGATAAGCTCTGGCCTTTTTCTTCTTTAAAACATTTCGATGGTCTCAACAGAAGATATAAAGTCACTCTTTTCCTCGTTGGAAAATGTTCAATTAGGGAACTCTTGACCAATCTAGTATTCTCGATATATTTAGCAATACTTGCACGTGTTTTAAAGCGTGTTTCAAACATGACACGAGTTTATTGACGTCCTCTATATTTGTACTCGTGAGTGGTAATCAAATACAAGGCAGTCGGCGACTTTTTACGATAAATCGGCTTATTTCGGATGACCTTTATCTTCATTTAGTTTATTCTCGTTTTACCAGCATGGTCATGAGACAGTTTAGGGCTGTCAGTGTTAGGCCGCCTTACGCATATCTCGTTATGTTACGATCAGTAGCGCTGTTCAAATCATACTTCTTATCTCACGAAATGGTAGAACCATTAGGTGATGTGGGGTGAGGAAACCTTAAACACTTCCATTGGAACTGTCCCTCTCAGAGACAGTTACTTGCTTACTTGCTCCCAAACTGGACTCAACATTCTTGGGCCACAGACAGTCGCTACCATTACCCCTTCTTATCAGAGCTTAGCAAGTTTTAGCTTTAGTGTTAATGATATGTTAATAGCAAGTCGTTGATGTTTCTTACATTACTCTAATTACGTCGTTGAATATATCAATCATATTTGATTAATGTTATTTTTGGAACAAAAGCCCTTAGAATTGGCGACTAAACGTTCTTGAATATTCGCACCAGATTATTGTCCTTTTCATAGACAGTAAAAGATAGCATCAATTCTTTGCACAAGCCGGCCTTTATTTGGTTAGGGCGGCAAAACCTTAAGTCTTCATCGTTTTTGGCGCTTTTAAGTTGTTTGGCGAGGAGTGCAGCAAGTGGCTTTTCGAATAAACCGCGACTTTTGTTTGACTGAGTAAATATCGTATGTACCTCATTCATGAAGCTTTCACTTGAGTTTTTACAAGTTCAGACGCGAAAAATGGGAAGTAGGGCATGCGCAATGGTGAGAGCGCTCACCGAACCTGGTGTCCTACCTAAGTTGAGTCTGTTGTTGGTTCAAGTCCATTAGCACTCAGACGGTTTTCTTGTGTTATTCGGACTCAACACGATGTCCTGTTATCAATTAATCATAACCATTCAAATTTCCGAGAAAACAAACTGTGTTAAAAATGTATTCATCTAAGGAAGGGCCTGTGATTCCAATCTTCTCCGGCTTTCTTTTTTTCGGAAATCCCCAGCGTGGGATGATATGCCATTTCTTCGATTACTGTAATCAGTTCTGTGATTGGTGGATTCGTGGTGTCCGATTTCGGACAACTTTCCGATTACACTGTCTGTTTGCAACTCTAAAAAAAAAATTAAGGCAGCTCACTCATCATTCACATTCGATAAAATTGCTATAGTTAAGAGAAATGTGCTCTCTGCCAATGTGCAAATTAGGAGTTCACTTCAACGTATGATAATCATAAGGTTTCATTGATTTGTTTTTACAACCAGATTCCAACCTTGTTAACGATGCCTGGGCGGTTTATATTTGGTAGCCCAGATTCTAAGATTTCTTTGACTTCTTTGCGGAAACATCCCACAGGCCATGTCGTGTTATTTACTGTTGTACCAAATCACACTGGTCTTTTCTAAATTACCCGAGTGAGGCTGTGTCGTCAAAACAGGGAAAGTCTCATTTACCGAATATGTACTATCCTAGAATTTGGCGAATTGTTTGTGGTAATTCTTCCCTGTAGTCGTTGATTTGTTTTTGTCTTTGCCTTTTTTGCATGTTTCCGTTATAACCTCCCCCCCCCCCACCTCCGCGAGATGAAACACCTTTTCGAGGAGCTCGAGGAGCTCAGTAGGTTTTGCAAGTCAGAATAAAGACGATACGTGCGTGAAAAGCCATAGTGACACAGAATACTCAAGATCAATTTTGGTTCTCATCTCAATAAAGCTTACTACTGATAATAATTTCCAACCTTTTGACTCTTAATTTTCTACGCATAGCTACAGTTAATAATAAAATTGAAAATTTCCTTTTAAAAATGGAGTATTTTAAAGCTACAAAAAAACCAGGTCATCTCCTCTTTTTATCACCGTTTATTAACATATGTTACAAATACTTGTTCCTCGCTGCTTCTCACTGTGGGCTCGCGTGACGTTTCAGCCGTCTGTTTAAAATTCGACTCCCTTTGAAGTCGCGAAGTAAGCTCATACAGAGACGTTTGTATAAGCGTTTAGGGAGATGATATTTGAACCGTTTTTATTTATACTTGCCTGAGACACAGCCTTGTCAATACTTTGGGATTTTACAATTATTCCAAATATAGGTAAACCAATTGAAAAACGTAGACTGAAATACTATCGGAGCCTCATGCAATACCTGACCAATGGAAAGCAGTTTGTATCTTCCGTAAAGTTTACATAACACTTTGATTTAAAATGCTCTGTCATTGGCCCCAACATTACACGATATGATGTTTGATGAAGTTGAAATTCGCGCAGATTTCCATCTTCAGTTTTTTTATTTCCCCATAGAATTCGACCAATTTCCGGTGTCATCAGAGGCCGCCGACAACATAAGTATCTAATAAAGTAAATCTCTGTCAAGATAAGTTTTCAGTCTCAAGAAAATTACAGGTATAATTGTCCTCTCCAGTAGTTATACTCTGAAAATCTGCTTTTTTTCGTGGAAAACTGTGAATTACCTCATAGGAAGTGAAAATTAACAAGTTAACTCAGCCCCTCACGCAAATCGCTCCGTAGATTTTCTCTCAACAGATTTTGTCGGATTATGTCTTGCGCATGATCTTGTTAGATTAACAACCACATCCCTAGTTGCTTAGTTTACTCAAACTGCCTGTTCATTCATCGTTCATAGGCTAATTTATAATGTTATTCCCAGCAACTACGTAACTACGTATGTTAAGAGACGTTTTGGAGACGTCTTAAACCCTCCATACTTCCGTTTTCAAATATTGCAATGGGATTAAAATAAACTAAAGTTTTTAGAGATTTATCAGTAGAAATGCTGGTAACTCTTTAGATCTCATAAATATAACGGTAACCTGGCTTTACCTTTTCGACAGTTTTCCGCGAACTTTCTGGACATCCAGGAGAATGAAATAGCCACCGCCTGTAATCGTGAAACATAGGGCTAAACATAGGAATAACATATCCAGTAAATTTTATTAGGGTAATATATCATTGAAATAATCGGTCTAAATAGAGCATGAACGACACTTTTCAAAAAGCATTTCCGGAGTCTTAGATTACAGTAAACTTGAAATTAGTGAATAGTAAGAGGTTTAGAAGTATAGATTTTTAACAATTGACACCCTGCAGTTATTAGTTGAGGATGTCCCTATTTAACTCATTTGAGTGTCTTGCGGTCATCAGTCGCGTTTGAACGAGAACCTTGTTATACCGGGAACAATTTGAATGAAAAATTTATCCAGTAGCTTCAAAAAGAGGGATTTTACCACTCTTGATCAAAGGTCTGGAGGTAACCAATTTGTTAAATTAATTTGCAAGAATTTAACACATCCTGATCTAATTGCTTACGATGGTGCATAGCTCAGCCATTCCACGTAAAAAAGCTTGAAACATCAGGTTGGTCATGGTGCAGATGGTACGAACTCAAGTAAATTGAAAGTGAATAGAGTTATGATCATCGTGTCTTTCAGAGGTCCAGATTTGCTTTGTATCTAAAATAAGAAGTTGCTTTACAGGCAATGACACTCTAAGCAAGTTTCCGTACAGCTGGTTTATAAGTTTAAGTTCGAATCCTCGACGTTAATATTTTTTGGGTGTTAGATTTGCAAACGAGACAGGTGGAAGATAATGCCTTTCTCTTGGCTTTCCTTGCCCTCCTTGTCCTGTCCATTTTCAGTGACTCAGGTCCTAACGTTTTATTTTGCATTTACCTAACAGATAAACATGGCTGAATCAAGAAAATCCTGGCTTCAATTTCTTAGTGTAATTTTGGTTGTTCTTCTTCTACTAGAAGCAGCAGAGAGCAGGGTAAGCAATAAAGACATGATAGACCTCTAGTTTTGTGACTACCTCATTAGTAGCAAGTTCATCTCCTCATTAGTCAATCTAACTGCACTAATTAAATGAAACACGACTTAAAATGGGGAGTCGCCTTACTTTGGAAATTGTTCATCTTACACGGCTTTAAATTTACTGATCAGAGGACAATGCTTAGAGCTAGATCAAAATGCGGCAAGCCGTAGCGAAGGGCATTTGTCCCAGTTCCATCCAACAGGCATTTTTACGATAACGTTGGTATATGTGTAAGACTGAGCTTTCAACGTTTTCACCTATAAAGGATTGTTAAACAGACAAAACAGGAAAAATCAATCTTCAGACTTCTTGACAGAGTTCCAAATTCTTTGTGTTTAACCTTTTGCGGTTTTGACCTGGTCCTATTTAACGAATTTCACTATATGTTTGATAATTGGGTACTCAGCCGGCCGGCTAAATGGAAAGCAAGATTACACAACTAAGCCTGGCGAGAATGAGGCTGTTGCATCGTATAAGGGCCACCAATTGCAAACACAGGACTGTTGTCTATGGATTTGTCGCAGACAAAATATAATGCTCAGTAGCTATTGACAAGACGCCAACATAAATATATCATCACAAGACCTTTTAGCTCCTTTAATTAAAGTACAGAAATAAATTAAAATTTCGCTGTGACTCGAATGCTTTCCAAAATACAAGCTAAGGAGCATTTCCTAACTTTTAATGACAATTCAGAGCAAATCTATAAGAGTCTCTCCATTCCATCACAAATTGAATTCATCGCGTTTCTATTATTTGACCCATGTGAACATCTTAATTCGTTATTCGTAGCCTCCTGAAAGTTTTCTGCCTCACTCACGATATCTTCCTTACCAAAAGTTCCTGTTCAATGTTCTAGTTCTCTGTTTTCGAAGAGGGGAGGAAGAGAGTTTCTTAAATAATTCTTTTTAATTCGCACATTACTTGTATTCGTGATGACTTTAAGGAGTGGCGTAGTTTCTCAAGGCTTCTTTAGAAGGTCAATGTCCAGATCATTAAATATTGAGCTTCTTATTTGAATCTAAGATTTCCGTTTAGCCATCCAGACTCCATTGAAAGCGGATACGGGAAAATTGCGTCAATCTCAGTGTCGAAGAGAATTTTGAAGACCTCACAAGGTCTGAATACTGTTAATAACAGACTGATAAAAGCTTTTAAACTGTTTTTCTTGGATTTATAAAACCGATCTTGCTCTTAGTCTTGAAACCTTAGGGGAGACCTTAATCCGTGACTTGCAACCGAAGGAGATGAAGATTGTCTTGTTATCATAATACTTTTACATGTGAATTCCCCTCAACCCCTTCCCCCCCCTCCCTACGCGCTAAAGAAAAGGTCAAAAACAAAAGATTACTTTTCTTTAAAGTATACTCGTCTTAAGAGAGATGTCTGGTTAACGATACCAGAAGCACTGAATCTCTCCCCCTTCCCGCGTAAACCAAAAAAAATCGCTTTTCTTTTATGAATACTCGTCTTAGGAGAGATATATCGGCAACAATACAAATAAATGCATCTACATCTACGCAGTTCGGAAAGCCGCAGAAGAAAAATTTATCTTTCAACTCGGCACTCTGAATTCCCACGGTATGAGTGAACGCTTTTTATTGAACTAGTTCGTGATTGTTTTTCTTGTTACTATGTTGCCACCAATAGTGTAGCCCCATTTACCGCATGTAAACACACACACAACCCACAAGTCCTCCATTCGCTCAGCTTTGAAACTCGGAGGTCAATGTATGTTAGCAACTCAGTCGATAATACTAAATTACCTGATAATATAGATAGCCCTGGAGTCTTAGGCCTGAAACCGAATTCTTAATAAGGGTAACCAACATCACTTTTCACCCGAACCGGGAACAAATATTTGGTTTATCACCAATTTTATTTCGCCAAACCATCGCTCCCAAGTTTTCAAAGGTAAATGGACGAAAGTTTCGGAAAGCCACGGAAATAGCAATTGTCGTCGAAGGGGTACTTTCCTCACAATCTCCGTGTGACCGATCGATTTGCAGGATTACACCTGGAAGCATACTTCCTGGGGTTTAAATATTGTTCTTGCTTGAGGGATTATCCATCCACAACAACCGCAGTGTACTTCTCAATCTAAAGAACTATAAATTGATGCCTTAAGTTAATGCAGATGTTTTTTTTTTCCAAAATGTGTGCCATTTTGGCCTCTAATTATGTCTTATCACCTATACCCTGCTCCAAGTGATAAAATGAATATATATCTTGAACAAGACGGGAAAGCTCCATTCGTTTAATCAGACTTATCGTTTGAAATAAAACAGTTTTTATTTGGTAAGAAAATACTCACTTAACGGCAAACTGTCTTGCTTGCCTTAAGCAGATGATTTGTCTCCTGTATGGCTGTTCTGTATCTGATGTATTTGTGCAAATTTAAAACTGTCTTCCATCTTTAAGTTTGAGAAAAAGGGGAAAGGTAACAAACAAATAAGGGAAATTATTCAAATTGCTCTTGATCAGAACTGACACTTTTTTTACGGGGGATAGAGAAAATGAGTTCCGGATGATAAGAAGTTCTCCGATTGCAAATCAAGGGAAATCGTTTTAAGATCCATTTCTTGTTAGCAGATTAACTTCGAACAAGGCCACGTCAAAGCCGCAATGGGTGTCTGTCAGCGTGGAAAATCAGATGGTAGCGGAAAAAAAATAGAGAATTCTTTATTCTCTTTGGGTGCACTACATGGAACTAACAAGATTAATACTTCTTGTAGACATGGTGGTCCCACATTATAAACTTAAGCCTGGATAAAAGTGAAGTAAAGTAGATTTACCTTTCCCCTTAAGTTTTCACATCCTTATAAACGAGACAAACATACTTCTCATCCAAATCATGTACATGAGGATAGGGAATATTCCAAATATATTGAGAATCCTCAGAAATTTTGATTAAACCGAACGTGTGTCGATTACACCGTATTTCGGTATACCATCATTTGAGCACGAGTATTGTTGGTTTGATGGTTTCAGTTGAAATGTGAATGGCAATACGGCGTATTTTAAAGAAAGAGTTGCTAGAAACGCTAGACTTGAAGGAAAAAATGCACCTAAGCGTTCGTATGTCATTACCTCTCAAAGAGTCACCTTAATTATAATCTCTTGCAATCAACACGGATTATCCTTTGAATCCTCCACAAAACCATGGTGTAATGCGTCCGGTTCAAAACAGGGAGACATTTTAGATTTGCAATAATACATCGGTATCGTCACTCTCCCATACTTAGAAATTCATTGTATTTATGCTGTTTTTGATCAATCTTTGAAGTTCCATTCCATCGGTGGCTGTTCAAGTTCCAATATTAATTAATTAAGTTAAACTAGAAATAGGATGCACGGCACATGTTTCCATTGCGTATAAAATATTGAGTGGTGCCGAACAGAGGAAATCATTGCCTAAAAGTGTTATTGTATAAATGCTGTTGAGCAAAATACACGATTGCATTTTCCACAATGTATTACACACCGTTAATGCAAACAGCCTCTCACACAATGACTTGTGCTGTGCACGATTAAAAATGATTGTAAACTCTCTAACGTAATAAATGAAAAGCTATACCTTTGAAGCAAGCGACATGCTGTTATGCTGGCAACACCCCTTGCGGCTGTGATACAAAACTTATGATGACCACTCACAAATTGTTTTAAAAGCCTTTAATTGAAATCAGTCCCTAGAATCAAGTCGTAATGAAAATATGCCCCGTTAAATGAATGTTCTTAATCTTTTCTTAACCATTTGCCGCAAGCATTATAGAGTCATGGTAGAAATAAATACCTATCGTGAAATAACGCAATATGATTTTGGTGTTTTGTCTTGAACGTTTAGCCGCCCAAGAAAGGGAAGAAAAAGTCTCGCGCTAAGCAATGTGGAAACGAGGGTCATCTTTGCCAATCAGGATCAAGGAAGGTAAGGAGTGGAACAATTAGCTCGAAGTCGAATAATTTTACAAGCAAACACACAAAAAGCAAATTAACAAAAATTTTTGGAGGTACGTATTGCTTTGCATATCCACGCATAGAGAACTTTAGCACTGATTAGTGAAGCAATCCAAGTACGTTTCATCGTTTATATATAAACTGAATGCCTGCCCTTTACATCCGGGGGACAATTGCAAAATTAATTAAAGAAATTTTTTTTGTATTTTTTTTCCTTCCGCTGTATCCGACGTCTGCTGTCCTTTTTTCGTCGATAGCTTTGCTGCAGCGCCGGTTTTACTTGTCACACACCTATCTTCTCACGCAATAAGACGAGAAAACTCAAGAGAAGAAAAAAGTTGGGAATGTGCAAACCAATTAAACCGCAAGAAAAAGAAATCGACGAATCCCAAAAGACACCATCATTTAGGTTTTCAACGAAACCAACGGTGTTCTTTCGGGCGGAAATAAAAAACTCAAGTCCATCTCGTGGACTTTAGACAGGATACCCAAATGAACACAACATTGCCAAACCAGACCATTACGTGGTTCTCCGCGAAGAATAACTGGCACGATCGACCTACATTCTGACTTCGACTGGACAATGCTTTCTAACTTATTGAGACGGTGCTATTGGCATTATTTATGTTTAAAGAATTATTTATATACTTCAACAAGAAAAATAACAACAGTAACATAAAGGATCATAAACCATTAGGTATTTTCTAACACTAAAAAATTTTCTATTTAAATTTATTTGATGACTTTTAATATACAATTGACGTAAAGACTGAGGTAATTTAGAAAACAAAGAAAATACGTGGCTAAAAACTTTTTCGTGCAAGACTTTTTCCTGGTCCACACTTATAGTGTTTTCTTTCAACCATCCCAATTCATTTTGCCAGTCATCGGTATATGGAGTGTTATTGCCATGGCTAGCAAGGAGAAGTATCTGGTATCGTACTGAAGAATAGTTACAGTCTACATGATCAAAACATGTTGAGTGCACTTCGCGATAACATGCGAGCTTTGGTGTTACAGAGACGTCATTGATTCGTTGCCTTCAGACATCTTCCGCACCTCTCACGAAACACGTGAACGTATGGTTCAAAATGTCATATTCCTGATCGTGAGCCGTGATTGGAGGATGCTGAGCGATTAAGATTGCTTCTGCTTATAACTGTCCGCCGTGAAAATGATAGAAGGCAGCATGAAACGAAATAGCAAGTCCAATTGACTCCAGAACCCCAGGGCTCGCATGTTTTCGCAAAAAAAAAAAACTAAACAAAACAACAAAAAACAAACAAACAAAAAACTATATATGCAGCTGTCACTCGTTTGTACATGGAGTTGGATTCCATTGAGAAATGTTTCCATAGTAGAAATGTTTCTGTCGGTTTTAGCATATCACACATGTTTATTTGATTCGTTCCACATATGGGAACCATTTGAAGAGGTTTCAGTAAATTAAAGTAGAGTGGTGCATCCTGTATGTGACCCCTTAAAAGAAAGAGTTTAGTAATTGTGGCCTTAGTATCCGACTCTTATGTCTTGTCGTTGCTAATGAAATATCAGTAAGGGATTTTGAAACACCTCTGTTCAATGGCAAGACAGAAAAATTTACAATGACTTATCGTAGTATGGAAGAAAAATTACAAAGAAAGTAATACTTAAGGAGACCAAACGTGTGCGGCTTAAGGAACCTGTGTGGCGGACTTCTAGCCATGCCTTGTGTCATATCTTATTTCTTTATCTGTGATATATCTGGTCTAGTTTTGATGATGTGGGTCTTTGTGAGATGGTAAATCGTCTGTTGAAACTATTTTTGTTCATTTTTCACAGAACTTGGAAAAAACGTTATAATGTATGATCCACACTTTTAAGGTATTCTAAGCTTTTCAGTATTTAAATTTTGCATTTTTCCAATTGAGTATTAATAAATAACTATTTTTAAAACGGAGATAAAGACTTAGAAGTCGTTACTTACAGTTAAAGCATAGAATCAGTATAAATTTCTTAGTCGAATTTTTGTTTGAACCATAGACGCACATGCAATATTGTTTAGTTTTTTAAGAAACAAGTTGTTATTTATAAAGCATCATGTTCGTATTGGAGTGAGATGTTTATCGTAAGCTTTTTATGTACCTGAGTACAATCTAAGATTTTTACTTTTTCCTACTGCAGCTTTGTAGTAGACAGTCATGTGTCAGACCTTACAGTCTTTTAATGATTATGTGTTAACTTATCGGAGTTTATATTTTCACCTTCTCAAACTCATCGATAATTCATAAGGTTAACTACCAATCACCGGATGTATCCCACATCACGTGCAAGCGTATGGATACCCAATGAAAAAGAATATGCTATTTTCAAGTGAGAATGGTATATACCACTAAAATAAACGTCTTGGCAACTTGCCTAAAATCAATGATTATCTATCAGTCAGAAATAACATTATTTGGATAATGCTTCATTTTTATATTTAAGCCCATTTACAGAAACGTTTACCTCAAAATCAATAAACTTGACCCATTCGAAAGTAGAGAATTATCTTTCTACACGTTTTTCTTTAGTCTTGTCATTTACATTCATTTTTTCTTTTGAGTTACTAATACTTCTTTGATCCGAACTCAAAATTTTAGAAACACGTTTAACTTGATCTTCGCTGACCTTTTCATACTTGAACAATGCATTAGATACATGACCAGTAAGCTCCCTCGTGAGTTTTTCGTTTCCCCCACTCTGGAATAACCTGAAAGCATACGTAACCCTAAGACAAAGAGCTGTTTTTTTCTTTATCTCAACTGCAGAGCACAAATGTGGCAATTTTATTCAACGAGTTTATCCTCACTGGAATCTTGTAAAACCCCATTTTTGAGGATTAGGCTTGAAGTACAACGCACAACTATCTTTCCAAAATGTTTCACATGAACCAATATGTAAACAGTAAAATTCAACAAGGTATTGCAGAACATGCGATGGATCCTGTGGATTTCAGATGATCACCATAAAATGATGATGCAAGATGCATTTCCCCCAGTTTAATAAAATTATCCAAAACATTCATCGTTGCTAAAGTGATTTTATGCTCGGAAGCTCGTAACCCAAAGAACTTTCCATTGTAAAAATAACAGTGTTCAAGGCTGACTCAGCTGATTACCGTTCAAATAGTCCTTTTGACAAAAATAGTTCTTCTTCTTCGCGATTTACAACCTCCTTCCCGTCTCCTTTTGTTTTCAGATTTCGTGTATCGTGTACCATTCGTGTATTATTAAAAACAAATAGTTTACGCGAACCAAAAAGACATGTCCATAGGGTGGCACTTCAGCATTGCATTATGTACAGTTTTAAATTATTTGTTTAAGAGTGGGAAGTTATTTCCAAAAACTCGAGCTCGTGTTTTATCGGGGTATCCAAATACCTCACTCGACCTACGGCTTCGTTATCTCATTTGTTTCACGGTGTTTGGATACTCCCATGATACCTTCACTTTCTTTTTGGGAATAGTACTTCAAAACAAGTAACCCTCAGAAAACGGCGAATTTCTGATATTGTATATAAACGATGGTAAAATTAAATCCCTTGATGAGTGGGCAACCACGAAACA